GGGAACGTTCGGAACCCGACGGGATGCCGATTGTGACGTCCCGCGGGTCCGGCCGCTCTGAGCCTGTGTTGCGCCCGCAGGGGGAGCGAGCCGCCTGCCCCTACGATGCTGGTCACCAGATGCCCCGCGCCGCCCTGGCAAAGCACGTGGCGTCCTGCCGGCTGAGGAGGCTGGAGTACTCCAGAGAGGAGCAGGTAGCCGCCTCTGCTCCCGCGGGCTGCTGGGTTGCTGCTGGGCAGGCCGTGCGGAGCAGAATGACTTCTGCAGCTTGAAGAGGTCTGGGTTAGGTCAGACCAATGTGCTATTTATGGAAGTTGCATAGGAAGCCCCTGATTAGGGGTGCCAATTGTCCCATTTTCAACCAGAAGGACTTTTGAAGAAGGAGTGGGCTACTAAAAGTCCAGTCAGTGGTGCAGTGGGGGTAAGGTAGGCTCCCTGCTTGTCCTGGCTTCAGGTGGCTCCTGGAAGTGGCTGACACATCACTGTGGCCTCTAGGCATAAGGGCAGCCAAGGGGCTCCACACACTGCCCCTGCCGCCCCTCTGTATGTTCACACTCACTCTCTCTCTCTTCCTCCCCCTCCCCCAACAGCCTAGAGCTCTCCTACAATCCAAATCCTTTGACCTCAGCTCAGAGCTGCCTCCTGCACCCCAATCCCTCCTCCATGTCCCCATCCTAAAACCCACTCCCCAGCCGGAGTCCTGATCCTTTCTCACACCCCATTTTGGTGAAAATGAACAAGTAAGCAACGGTGGGGGGATGGAGTGGGTAGGAGCAAAGCCAAGGTGATTGCCAACTTTCTGATTGCAGAAAGCCAATCTTATCTTGAAGCTCCAGGTAGATGTGTGCAGGTGGCTTTTGCATATGCACAAGTCCAGCTGAATTTAGTGAGGCTCTGTCTGGGTGTTAAGCTCCAAACAAGTTTATCAGACTGTAAATGTGGGAACTTTTGGGTAGATATGCTTGAGTCTTAACTATCACACAAAGGTATAATTGTGTTTTGTTTTTTAGACTGAAATGTATGACTCTGCATTTTACTATGAGAAAGCAAAGATACCCACCGTTACTATGGGTATGTATGAATTTAGTAATGGTTGTACAATGAAAGCTGACACTTCAAGTGATGATGTAATCAGTGTAAGAGGAAACCTCCTTATTCTCACCATCTAGTTTTTTAAAAAATAACTTTACCTTCATTCTGCAAAACTGTGCAGCATGCTTTTTCCCTTACCCAATGCTATTCTTAGAATGTGTTTCCTCTTCATTTTCAAGTTCTCAGAGGGTATTATAACTAAGTTTTCACTGGTTTATCAGAGTATTTGTGTCAGATTGGTTCCCTCCACCATATCTCTAACACAGTTTGCAAATTCCTATTACAGTAAACTTCGGATAATCTGGCACCTTTAGGACCCAGGGGGTGTCAGATTATCAGATATGCTGGACTATCAGAAAGGGGGGCTATGAGGGGGATGGGGTGGGGGGATGCCACCCCAGACCCCTCATAGCCCCCCCTTCCAATAGTCCTGCTCTGCCCCAGGTGTCCCCTATTCAGCCACTGCTGGTCAGTTTCAGCAGCGGCTGAATCGGGGACGCCTGCCGCAGAGCA